GCTTCAAATTCAGCGCACTCAACATTCTATAATATAATTGTGTTATTTTACATGTCAAATTAAAAGCTTATTTGATGCGTCAAATAGTGTTATTTGACTTGTTAATTTTGACACCTGAACGGCCTTCCATAGCTACCTGCAGAGCTGACTGACTACCACAGCCCACAGAAACCATGGAAATGACTGAAGAATCTGAAACACACAGTATAGTCAGTAATCAATTAATTTGATTAGTAATAAAATTGAAAATAGTTAAATTGCTAATGTAATTTGTCATTGAAGTTTGGTTTCTAAGGTAAGGAATTTTGGGATTTATGACTTTAGGTTTGTGTACTGGTGACTGTGGATTACTTGGTTGTGCTACTTTGTGTTAATTGCCTATTTGAAAATGTATCCACCTCACAAGAAAGTTTAAGTGTGCAATAAAAAAGCGTTAAAATCAGCTATGAGAAAGCAAAGCTTCAGCAATAAACACGTCTTAACATCAACACGCTCTGAAGCTCAAACTACATCCACCTCCATATTAAAACAACAGACAGATCAAACCTGGCCAAACAGACTTTTTCGATGGAATTAAGATGAAACGTTGCACAGCAGTTTTGAAACAGATTCAAAGTCAGATTAGAAAATAATGTATATTGTCTTTGTTTGCTGTTTCTGGCTTTTTTCTTTCTTCCCCTTCCAAAGGGTGTGTTGTCGTTCAGTTCGAAGGTGTGTGTGCCGTTCGGTGTGTTCCAAAGTTTGTGTGTGTGTTGTCTTTCGGTTCCAAAGTGTCTGTGTTGTGGTACTGTTCCAAAGTGTGTGTTATCATTCAGTGTGTTTGGGTTCCAAAGGTCATAGTTGTCACCCGTATGGGCCATTTTCATTTGAGCCTGCATGAGGTCATCCGAGGTGAAGCCTTGTCAAGCAGTAGGGTGTTGTTTACTCAACCCCCTCCTCTCTCTCTCTCTCTCTCTCGCTCTCTCTCTCTCTCTCTCTCGCTCTCTCTCTCTCTCTCTCTCTCGCTCTCTCTGTCACGTTCGTTGATGAACGGGTCAGACCAAGGCGCAGCGTGATATGCATACATGTTTATTTGAACCGAATAAACAACGACAAAACAACAAAGTCCAAGGTACACAAACAACATACCTAACACGGAACAAGATCCCACAACCCACTAGTGCCAATAGGCTGCCTAAGTATGGTCCCCAATCAGAGACAACGAGCGACAGCTGCCTCTGATTGGGAACCACACCGGCCAACATAGATCTAGACATACTAGATCTAAACATAGAAAATACAACATAGAAAATCACAACAAGGAATATACACACCCTGACTCAACATATAAGCGTCCTCTGAGTCAGGGCGTGACACTCTCTTTCTCTCTCTCACTCTCTCTCGCTCTCTTCCCCCCCCCCCCCCCCCCCCCCCCCCACTCTCTCTCTGGAACTATGATGCTCAGCTCTCTGTAAAAATACACAGATGTTCCCGGGTCATGGTGACCAATGGTGTCCTTCAGAGACATGATACAGAATGTTGCAAAGTGGTTTTGTAGCATTGCTGAATGTGCATATCGCTGCTGAACGTGCACATCATTGCTGAACGTGCACATCATTGCTGAACGTGCACATCGTGTTCTAGGAAATTGTATTCTCTTGAGAGGGTGTAGCGCGGGCCCTGCTCAGATAATAAGAGGGAAAACGGCCCCTGTGTGACTCAAATCCCACTAGGCACAGATGTCAGTTCAACATCTAGTTTTGATTTACATTTGGTTGAGTTGTAAACTAACGTGAATTCAACGTGAAATCAACCAAAAATGTAACCATGCCATTGCATTTAGGTTAAAAGTTAGGTGAAAAAAAGACAAAATCCCTTACGTTGATGACTTTTTTGCAAATCCAATCAGTTTAACACGTTGATTCAACATCATCACATTGATTTTTGTATTTTGATTATATGGACACAACCAGTTTTGGCCCAGTGGGATGAATCAAATTCACCTGGCAAACACAATAGTTTCATTATAAAAAAATACTTTTCACTAGGGCTGTCCCCAAATAAATACATTTTAAAAGGTGTATTTTTACAAATATAGACACAACCTATGTGTTTTAATAAAATCAACTACATGCTTGTCTGATGCTGTTGATTGAAATAAGACACAAATGACTCAAGAGGGAGCAAGAGATCAAGATAACCAGAAGAGAAAAACCTTAACCTGACCCGTCCATCCTCTTCCGTTCCTGCTGGCTTTCGCAGATTCTTCCATTACTGTCCTGAAGTTGCCGGTAATAATAGGCCACACGAGGAGTCAGCAATATTTCTCATGTGGAATGCCAATTTATCTTACAATTTCTACCGATATGTGTGCCAGTTATGGTTTTCATATGCACATTTTCGTGGAACACTTTCATTTAATTTATAATAACGTCTTCGTATCTCAAAATCATTGTCATACGATTAATCAAAATTCTATCCAAATCTAAATGAAAATGATACAAACCTAAAAAGTAACTTATATTGCCATTGCCAACTATGTAAAAATAGCCTACATAAATCCAACAGCCTGCCGGTAGAAAATATCCTGATAAAAATAGATATCCTATAAATCACATTGGCTACTGGCCTGTCTGCAACAAACTTGAAACATTGTATCAACTATCAACTTGGGTCCAGCCAGAAACTTGCACTAGCAAACTTCCAATATTGTATAAAATATTTTTCCGCCCCAGTGAGCTCTGGACAGACACACACAGCTGTAGGCTATTTTGCACAAGGGATAAGAGCTCATCAAGTAGACCTATTTTATGACTTTCCACTGGATCAGAGCATGACATTTTTCCCTTTCACGCTGAGTGGTTATCGAAAGGGAGAGAGCTGGAAAGATTTTTCAAATACATTGAGGAACTATTGTCATTCTCAATGGATGTAAAAACAGACTTTGTTTGCTTGCTGTTTAAGGTGAAGAAAATATTACTTTGAGAAGCTCCACCGCTCATTAGTAGTGGTGCGTTAAGCCAATCAGAAATACTATCATATCCCCAAATGGGCACATTTATATGCCTACATTTGCGCGCAGGCCAGGTAGCCTATAGGCCTACTTCTATGCGTAATCAGGTTATTACTCAACATTGACAGTAGCGCTCCAAACAAAAGACAATGACTAAATTGGCAAAACTCGTAAATGGAATGAAATAAACCAAAACTTGTTTCTCACAAGTGTAGCATAGGTTGTGCGCTCTGCAAACAACGTGTCCACTCTGACAATGAGAACGGTAAAATACTGTAATAATAATATAATGCATTAACAGAAATTACCATGACCAAACAAACATTGTAGATTAGAAATTATAGGAATTAACAGTAAATATAGGCTACTACTGGTGATATACACTACTGGTCAAACGTTTTAGAACACCTACTCATTCAAGGGTTTTTCTATATTTTTACTCTTTTCTACATTGTAGAATAATAGTGAAGACATCAACACTATGAAATAACACATATGGAATCATGTAGTAACCAAAAAAGTGTTAAACAAATCAAAATATATTTTATATTTGAGATTCTTCAAATAGCCACCCTTTGTCTTGATGACTGCTTTGCACACTCTTGGCATTCTCTCAACCAGCTTCACCTGGAATGCTTTTCCAACAGTCTTGAAGAATTTCCCACATATGCTGAGCACTTGTTGGCTGCTTGTCCTTCACTCTGCGGTCCGACTCATCCCAAACCATCTCAATTTGGTTGAGGTCGGGGGATTGTGGAGGCCAGGTCATCTGATGCAGCACTCCATCACTCTCCTTCTTGGCAAAATAGCCTTTACACAGCCTGGAGGTGTGTTGGGTCATTGTCCTGTTGAAAAACAAACGACAGTCCCACTAAGCGCAAACCAGATGGGATAGCGTATCGCTGCAGAATGCTGTGGTAGCCATGCTGGTTAAGTGTGCCTTGAATTCTAAATAAATCACAGACAGTGTCACCAGCAAAGCACACCCACACCATAACGCCTCGTCCTCCATGCTTTACGGTGGGAAATACACATGCGCAGAACATCTGTTGACCCACACTACGTCTCACAAAGACACGGCGATTGGAACCAGAAATCTCCAATTTGGACTCCAGACCAAAGGACACATTTCCACAATTGTTCGTGTTTCTTGGCCCAAGCAGGTCTCTTCTTATTATTGGTGTCCTTCAGTAGTGGTTTTTTTTGCAGCAATTCGACCATGAAGGCCTGATTCACACGGTCTCCTCTGAAGAGTTGATGTTGAGATGTGTCTGTTACTTGAACTCGGTGATCATTTATTTGGGCTGCAATTTCTAAGGCTGGTGACTCGAATGAACTTATCCTCTGCAGCAGAGGTAACTCTGGGTCTTCCATTCCTGTGGTGGTACACATGAGAGCCAGTTTCTTCATAGCGCTTGACGGGTTTTGCGACTGCACTTGAAGAAAGTTCTTGAAATGTTCCGTATTGACTGACCTTCATGTCTTAAAGTAATGATGGACTGTCGTTTCTCTTTTCTTATTTGAGCTGTTCTTGACATAATATGGACTTGGTCTTTTACCAAATAGGGATATCTTCTGTATACCACCCCTACCTTGTCACAACACAACTGATTGGCTCAAACGCATTAAGAAGGAAATAAATTCCACAAATTAAGGCACACTTGTTAATTGAAATGCATTCCAGGTGACTACCTCATGAAGCTGGTTGAGAGAATGCGAAGAGTGTGCAAAGCTGTCATCAAGGCAAAGGTGGCTATTTGAAGAATTTTAAATATAAAATATATTTTGATTTGTTTAACACTTTTTTGGTTACTACATGATTCCATATGTCTTATTTCATAGTTTTGATGTCTTCACTATTATTATACCATGTAGAAAATAGTACAAATAAAGAAAAACCCTTGAATGAGTAGGCATTCTAAAACTTTTGACTGGTAGTGTATGTAATGGGGAATTGATAGACACTAACAAACAAGGCAAACAATTCACACAATGAAGTTATGAAACAATGAACGTGCACAAATTGGCAGGAGAGAGCGCATTCTGGAGAGAGACGTGCATTGTGCATTTTAGCCACACTCCCCTTCTTCTTGGACTGTGCCATCCACGCGGCCTCCACAATGGATTAGTCTCAGCCTCCGCAATGGATTAGTTCACTGAGATGGGTGCGAATCAGACAGGTGTCTTGTGTGCCCAAAAAAAGTATATATATATTTGCAACTGCTCAACAAAAAAAATCTCAGTCGACCAACAGCCTATCGACCAAACAATCGACCAGTCGACTAATTTTGGTCAGCCCTACATTTCACCAATGGTCACACCTGCAAACAGTGGGAAAAGGGAATTGACAAGTAATCATAGGTACTGTTTGGTCAGTGATCTCAATCTGCGATTTTACTATTTTTACATTCTTATAACTAGCACTTAATTAATTGGTGGCAATTCACTGCAATGGCATGCTAATTACTTTTGACATGTCTAATGTTGTTTAATTGTAGAGGTTTGATTTCTTTCTGGACATGCTTTGGTAGGTTTTCTTTCTCAGGAAGCGAGATTCTATTTGATCGGTTGTGAAATTTGGTAAGTTGCGCAAGAGAAACAAACTCATCCTAACTCATCATCGTCTGCTTCCAGGAATAAGATAGTTGTCATGGCAGGGAAAGTGATTATCTTGGCCTGGGCTTATCTCTTTCTCTCTGGCTTTGGGTTTATTTTTCTCACTTTTTAATTCCCCCTTTTCTCTCTCTCTTTCTTTTTCTCTGGCTCTCTTTTTAACTCACCCTTTTTTTCTCTTCCTCTCTCATGTTCTCCTCCCCCCTCTCTCTCATGTTCTCCTCACCCCTTTCTTTTATGTTTTCCTCCCTCTCTCTCTCTCTTTCTCTCTCTCTCTGGTGGCAGTCAGTCAGCCAGGTCGACCTCGCCTTGGCTCCACCCCTCCCATTCACCTGGCACTCGGCCCAGAATGTTGCTGCAATTCCGCCCGCTCTCATTGGTCCCCGCACACACACCGCTTCTGAGAAAGGGAAATTACCGCCCTCCCCTCCACTTCCCGCTGCTTTCGGTCTCTCTCTGCCACTATCCCTCCCTCCCTCGCTCACTCTTTCTGTCCCTCTCTTTCTTTCTCTTTTAAATAGATTTGCCACGGCTGGTTGTGCAGTGCTCAACTGTAAGTGATATGGGGTTTGATTAGATTTTCCGACTCAGACCAGAAACGCTGGTAGTTGTGAAAGAGTGCTTTGTACAGGTTGTTTGTGTGTGGTATGGCTTGGTGTGTGTGTGTGCGCTGTGTGTGTTCGTGGGAGTGCGGTGGGTGAAAGTTTTATTTGTTTTAGCAGACACCCTTGCATGGCTGACATTTCTACACATTATCTGTTCCCACAGCTGCATAGATGGGCTCTAGAAAGTGAAGAGAATGAGCAAGGCAAAGTAGCGTGATCTTGGAAAATAACATATCATGCTCTAGGAGTTTCCACTGAGGAATGAATGGAGGCAGAAATCAACTCTAAATCGATTCTGTGGAAGTATATATCACCAAGCTAATGTCTATCTCTCTCTCTTTCTCCCTCTCTCTCTCTTTCTCTACAGAAGTGCCTTCCCTGACATCTGCTGCAGCTTCGATCCGCTTCTAGAGCAGAAGCTCCACCCCCCCCGCCTCGCTTGCTGCCACAGTAACGCGAGCACAAGGATACCAACCACAGCCCTCGTCACGGCCAAAGCCTAAAAAACCCGCGCCCAGACCTGCACCTTCCTACGCCCTCACTGCACCAGCTCCAGCCTCCAGCCCCATCATCACCAGGCTTACTGCCCTAAGCCTTCACCTGCCCTCCCGTACCACGCTACCCCACAAAGCCTCTCTCCTTCTGGGCCCAGCCTCTCACTCTCAGACTCCTCAGTGTCTCTAATCTCCATTTATCTCCATTCAGTCACAGCCTACAGTACTGTTGTAGTCAGAAGAGAAGGATCTGAAGACTGAACTTTCCCTCTGGGTTACGTGCTGGATTGTTGGTGAGATACAAGTTGAGACAGACAGTGGTAGAGTCATTCTCTGCTAAGATCATTGGCTGTTGAGTGTGTTCTCAATGCTTTAAGGAAGATGTCCCAATAACACACACACACAACATTGTTACAACACTTTTCACCTATCGCCTTGATACATCCACTTGGATCTTTCAGAAGAATAAGGAGTAGGGGACTTATCCGTGTCCAAGCAAAGGACACACACACCAACACACACATCACGCTTTAGCCCGATTCGGACGGATTACTATTATTTTCCAGGACTGTCTTTGTCGCCATGGCGCACATGAACATGGCGCACATGCGGGACACAAAATGGCTGACGCTTGAGGTGTGCCGGGAGTTCCAGAGAGGCACGTGCTCGCGTTCCGACCAGGAGTGTAAGTTCGCCCACCCGGCCAAGAGCTGCCAGGTAGAGAATGGACGAGTCATCGCCTGCTTCGACTCCCTCAAGGTAAGAAGAAAGGAGATACGACACAGGATGAAGCTATGGGCTACGGCCATATATGGTGCTGTGATTTGATTGGCTAGCATCATACAACCATGAATGATTCTGTGATTTGATTGGCTGGCATACAGAATGATCAAGGGGTCAGGGGTTAAGAGAAAGGATAGGTCCTGGGGAGTTTATTGGTTTAAGGCATACATTAGAAACAGCTACCCTTCCTGGGGTCCACACAGAACAGAACACAATACAGAAACACATGCAAACGGACACAACAACACAGTTTTAAAAGTTAGCCTAACTCATATCCACAGGAGTACGAAGCCTGGGAAAAGGTTTTGACTGAATGAGCACATGAAAACAGACCATATTGATGGTGTGGTTTCAAACAGCACTGTATAAACCAAAACATTCTCTCAACCTACAACATACATTGTGTATTGTCATGAATAAAAAAAATTACCACAGTGAGGGGTTCTCATTCAAATACTCGATTCGATGTCTCACATTGGGATTGGCTCCAAGCGGATTACTACTACAAAGACCAAATCACACAACGTCTGTCGGAGATAGGGTGACCACATTTAAAATACCAAAATGTGGGACAACAGGATGATTTTACGGGACAGTGTAGCCTACATGAATACAAAATCTTGGCAGCACCGCATGCCAATCATTTGATCTCAATCAGTTTAATGGGAATATGCATTTAGATATTCTTCAATTATTTTTTTGTGAGCAAATTAGAGCAGACGGTGTTAACAAACTATATAATCTTCCCGTAGGCCTATTTTGTTTCAATCCAAGCATATTCTGCCTAGTGGCGCGCGCTGTTGAGTTTTCGCTGCATGAGAATTTATTTTGACTACAGTATTCAGTTACCCATCCTAAAATCTAAGAAATTACGAAGGTGGTGTTTTTGATGTAACAGTAACGTTATACTGTGCTATTATATTTGGTTCTGTTATGTAGAATACTAATTAATCATTATGTGACCTTCCAAGACATTGATTCAGCTTCGATCTAACTTGACTAAACAAGCACCATTGTGAGAAGAGCACCATTGTGAGAAGTGGGCGGAATGTACCCCTGCTCCAGCTGCACCGAACAAGCTAATTGCAGGCCATGCAGCCTACTCTTTTCCAGCACCAACAATTTGGTGTTGCAGAAATGAGAGACCACACGTGTGGCTGTTTTATGAAAATCTGGGAATATTTGGCCATGGATACATATCTGCTCGGTCTCAGGGAATGTAAAAGAGTCCGAAAGGGAGACTTAAAATGGGATTGAGTGAAGTAGCAGCAAATATGTTGAATAAGCAACTAATGAGCAAGGAGAGCCTCACAAGTTTGACGAAATTACCTTGTATCTTTCAGTCTAATACGGCTATTTACTTACTTGTAGCTCTTTGTCAGAAGCACACTTTTTGTAAGTAGTTACGCCTAACTGTCCTCTCCGAGTTTAGCTGGACTTTAGCTGAAAAATATTAGAGAAATGTGATTGGTTGATGATAGGCCAATGACATTGGCCTACATATCGTCTTGCGCTGCACAGAATATCAGATCTCAACAACGATTTGAGAAGTGTCTTTCCATGACATAGACTGACCAGGTGAATCCAGGTGGAAGCTATGATCCCTTATTGATGTCACCTGTTAAATACACTTCAATCAGTGTAGATGAAGGGGAGGAGACAGGTTAAAGAAAGATTTGTAATGCTTGAGACAATTGAGACATGGATTGTGTATGTGTGCCATTCAGCGGGTGAATGGACAAGACAACATTTTAAAGTGCCTTTGAAGGGGGTATGGTAGTAAGTGCCAGGCGCACTGGTTTGAGTGTGTTAAAATCTGCAACGCTGCTGGGTTTTTCACGGTCAACAGTTTCCTGTGTGTATCAAGCATTGGAGTCAACATGGGCCAGCATCCTTGTGGAACGCTTTCGACACCTTGTAGTCCATGCCCATGTCCATGTGAATTGAGGCTGTTCTTAGGGCAAAAGGGGGTGCAACTCAATATTAGGAAGGTGTTCCTAATGTTTTGTGCACTCAGTGTATATATTTACATAAGCACAACGTGATTGTAAGAGACAGGTTGGAATGTCTCACTGAAATACGGGACAAATCGGCATACTTTTTTGTTGTTGTGGTGTTTGAATTTGTTGATAAAATGCAGGACATGATTGTTTGGTTGCGGGACGCGGGAAAAAGGGCCAAAATGCGGGACATGTGGTCACCCTAGTCGGAGACAGACAGGTCGAGTGGCGAATGAGGTGAGCCCTTCCCTCTTTATAAAGCCTCTTTCACATTACCCATAAGCACATTACGTTGTGGCGGATGTCATTACGTTGTGGCGGATGTCATGCATTTCAATGGGGACGTCGACAACGAAGTGAAAACGCAACGCCTACTTGCAGTTGAAGGCTCTGTTGCGAGACGGACACTATGTACTTTTTAATTGTTCAAACTTTGCATCGTCTTCCGTCCAGCCAGAGTCCGTCGAAGAATAGGAAGTTACCAAACCACAGAAGAAATGAAAAAATGAGGTTTTCGGTGATGGCTTTATGGGATAGCAACTTGTAAACAATTACCCATTCCTATAAGTGAAACTATTTTAATAGCCAATTATATTATGTGACTGTTGCCTCCCGTTTAAGTTTATTGTGATGGTAATGACGTTTGTTTTTATTAAACTTTTTAGGTGGAGGTCGCTACGACGGTATATTCAACCTAGCCTAGCTTTTAGCTAGCTAGCTAGCTGCTCTGCAGTGCAAGCTAGCTTGACTTGCTATAAAGTTAGAGAAACAAGTTGAGGAAAAAGTAACTAAACAAAACATGTTTTATTATCACCTGAAACAATATATTTATCCTGTCTTAAATTAAAAGGTCTTATTCTCCCAAAATAAATGCGATCTCTGACAAGAGACAGGCTCTCCTCCAGCTTGCGTTACAAACACTACACTTTTCCATTCAGTCGCGGGACAAGACTGACGTACTGCGTAATGAAATATGTCACAATGTAAACGGGGCATCAGGTGCCACTCGCCCGTCCTCTGGTCATTCTCGCCTCTCTTCCTTGCGGAAGATCACTAGGCTCTTGAAGCTCTCCTCAGCATGATTTGATACCTGTCTTCCTACTTAGCTGTTCTCAGGCGAACCGCGAGGTTAAAGCTGCTAAATGTAGGAACCCAGCTCTTGTCCTTGTGTTGAAGAACTGACCAAAAGGAAAGTTTGAACATGAGGTAGATTACATTTTCAAGTCTCTCGTGGTAGCTAGCGTCAGACGGCTAACTTTTAAGACTTGGTTAGCTCACGCCGCAAGGAATAAGCTAACTTGGCTAGCTCGCTGGAAAGCAAGCTAACCAAACTAGCATTCCTACCTGCACAGACGGTAGCATAAGCATTGCTAGCTAACTCGGAACGAGTTCCCTAAACCAAAACGAGTTCCCTACCTGCCCAGACGGTAACATTGCCAGCTCCCTCGTGTAGTACAACCTACACTCATTTGTGTTGACTAACCGGTTTAGCCTCTCAGCATTACGGTCGTGCAAGATTTTCTACCCTAAGACGAATACCCACATGGTTCCATTCGGCTAGCACTGCGCTAGATATAACAGCCTTAGCCCACGAGCTGGCTGCTAGCTAGCTTCACTATCCCACCACGGCTATAGTGTTTATACACAGTGTTCACTTCAGCTAGCCATTAGCCATGAGGCATCTAATAAGCTAACTCACGCCTGTCAAGGCTAATTCGCGGCAGGCACTACTGTATTAGCAGGCCATTTTCCATGAATTAGGGATGTAGGAAGGGTAACAGTGGCTTGACTGTGGCCCAACCTGACCTCCTGGTTCAACGATTTATAGCCACTGCTACTCCGCCTGAGGCAGGCACTCAAACCCACTCGCTCTTGTGCTGGCGGCTTGATGATGCTGGGAAGCCGGGTGTTACTGGCTCTTCCACCAACGGAGGAATTGCCAGCTTTCTGTCTCATTTAGTACATCTAATGTTCACTCGTTTCATTGGCTAAACTGACCGGTTTTACATCACCGTGATATGGTCAAAAAAGACTCTCAAGACCGAAGAAGCAACGCTATTCACATGGTTTTCTTAGGCTAACGCAGTGCTAGCTATAGCTAGGCTATTAGCCCACTCAGTGAACACTAGCTAGCTAACACAAAAGCCTTGCGGCTAAGCGACGACTAGCACACGCATAAACCGGTTAGCAATACTTTTCTTCCGGCAATATTATGGGCCCCCGTACCCCATGGGAAACAAACATACTCAGTCAGCTCTCGAACGAGTCCTGGAAGTTTTGTAAGGTCTCATCAAGTACTGGCCCGTGCTAGCTTAAGCTACACTACTAGCCCTCACGGCAAACGTTAGGTAGCTATCCACTATCTACCGATTGCTAGGTTAGCTCTCGTATTTAGTTTACCTAGCATTAAATTGCTTTGTGCCTATTAACTGAACCAGTCTCACAATGCGGTGATCCGGTCCACGAGACGGCCTAAAACAGTTTAGCTAACGTGGCAAGGCTGGCTGTACTACTGCTAGGCGAGGGGCGCTCATGCGGCCTACGTCAGCTAGCACACCGCTAGCTTAGCTCTCTTGCATAGTTCACATAACGTTGAGTCGTTTTTGTGCTTACTTACAAGAGACTCAAAAACCAGGTCAACTATGGCGTCACGGCTAGCCTTGCCACCACCTGCCCCGCAGACCCGGGTACCGTGGCAACCCGGTCTCCCCCTCTACGGACCAAGACTTGGCAGCAGGGAGAGGGCAGTTCGCTAGTGCCAATGCTAACTGAGCGACCAGCGATGTAGTAGGCTGGAAACCCACAGTCTCAGGACAGAGGCAGACAGTGGGGGAACGGTCGCTCACTGCGGCTGCATCGAGGTCACGCCTGGTGATTCCCCTGGCGGAAAAAGTGGTGACCAACCTAAGGGTCTGTCCCCAGCGGCAGAGAGGGGCCCGCCAACAGTTCACGCCATGTCCTGTCCCCTCTCGGGTGGAGCACATATCCCCCCCCCCATATCCGAGGATTTATGCTTCTTACCGGACCTTTTGGACAGAGGGAAGG